TTATTCATTAAATATATTTTACAAAACACCTTTCCCTTAACATATTCCTGTAATACTATTAGTGTTGAGATGCTTAAAGAGAATTGGAAATATTATTATTTTGAAAGGTAATTAATCAATCTACATATTTTCTTTCAAAAGTCTGGTCTCGCAGATACAATAGTCGTTGCATCAATCTATCCTCGGCATACCATATTCTTCTCCTTCTTTTTGCTATAGACTTCCAAGCAATTCTCGTCTCCAAACTATTGAAACAAAGATGGGTGACCTCATCCTTGGCCCCGTCGTAGAAGCCACTCTGTCCAAGGTGATTGCTGTTGCTTCCGATCAGCTCGATTTAGCACTGGGATGGAAAGAAGACCTGAAAAAGTTTTGTAGTACGATGAGGCATCTCCGAGGTTTGTTGCAAGATGCTGATGAAAAGAATGTCAGTGGCAACCCTGCTCTGAAGTCTTGGCTCCAGGATCTTCGAGCTATTGCAGATGAGGCTAATGATATACTGGAGCAGGTCGCTTATAAAAATATGCAGCGTCAGATGGCAGTTCAGAAATCAAAGGTCAGGTACTTCTTTACTCAGGCTGACCCCCAGGCCTTGATATTTCGCCAGAAAATGGCTAATAAAATTAAGAATTTGAACAAAAAGCTTGCTGGTATCAATCGCTCGGCTAATCAGTTGGGACTGCAATACAAACTTGCAAACACAGGTCCTGAACCCAGAGCCACAGCAGGCCTAGAGACCCACTCTTTGCTTCCATCACCAGTTTTTGGAAGAAAGGAAGATGTCTCTAAAATAGTCAGCTTGTTGGTTGACTCAAGTAGTCAACATGACCTCCCTGTCACGACTATAGTGGGTATGCCTGGCCTTGGCAAAACCACTTTAGCAAAAGCAGTGCTTCAAAATGAAAAAATACGTGAACATTTTGGTGATAATAAAATGTGGGTTTGTGTGTCTGAAAATTTTGATGTCAAGAGGATTTTAATGGAGATGTTGGAGTCTATTACCAAAAGTAGTAGTGGTGGTGGGGATATTGGAAGCAAAGATACTGTGCTGAGGAAAATACAAGAGAAGCTGGGGGAGAAAAGTTATCTTCTCATACTAGATGATGTTTGGAATGAGGAGAGAAAAATATGGGAGGATTTAAGGAGTTGCTTGTTGGGAATAAGTAAAAATAAGGGGAGTAGGGTGCTTGTGACAACCCGACTTAAAAATGTTGCATCACTAATGGCAGTTACTAATGAACACATCCATCATCCTAAGCAATTAAATGAAGAAGAGTGTTGGACTATAATCAAGCACAGAGCATTTGGAGACAATTCAGTATCTGATGGGTTAGAGGAAATTGGAAAACAGATTGCTAAAAAGTGTAAAGGCGTTCCACTAGTAGCAAGTATTATAGGGGCCACTTTGCAAAATAAGAGGGACAAAAAGGAGTGGCAGGCAGTTATAGAGAATCAGGTGTGGGACTCACTGGAAAAGGAGAATGGGGTCTTGGATATAATAAAATTCAGTTATGATCGCTTGCCTAAACTGGCTTTGAAGCAGTGCTTTGCATTTTGTTCCATTTTTCCTAAGGATTTTGTCATGGAAAGGGAGATGCTAATTCAACTTTGGATGGCTCAAGGATTTCTTGAATCGTCTGAAGAAAGTTGTATGGCAGCTGACGAGATTGGTGACAAGTATTTCAAAAATTTGTTATCGTATTCCCTATTTCAAGAGGGATGGAGGGATCATGTAACTGGGAGTGTTATATCTTGCAAGATGCATGATTTGATTCATGATTTTGCTCAATTCATTTCAAATTTTGAGACGTTGATTGTTGAGGAGCAGCCCGGTAGTCATATTTCTCATCATGTTAGGCATTTGAATCTAATTGGTGGGAGGGAAATGGTGCCAACAATTTTAGGAGATGTTGCTGAAAAGTTGCAGACATTGTTTTCCAAGCATGGTGTTTTTAGTGATGTGCAAGTGGATCTTAAAAGGTTGCGGGCTCTCAACCTTGATGATGCTTCTGATGCAAAACAATTGCCAACATGCTTTGGCAACTCGAAGAGCTTGAGGTACTTGGACATTTCAGGAACTCAAATAGGAGAACTGCCCAAGTTCATCACCAAGCTATACAATTTGCAAACATTTCGATTCACAAACTGCAAATCTCTTAAAATGCCTACAGGAGGAATAGGAGATTTAATCAACTTGAGGCATATTTATTTCAATGATGAAGAGCGTATGCCTGCAAACCTTGGGAGACTAACCAAACTACAAACATTGCCATTGTTTTTTGTAAGTACAACAAAGGGATGTAAAATTGAAGAACTGGGAAGCTTAAGAGGACTCAAAGGAGGACTAGAGATCCGTAAGCTTGATCTTGTTGAAGGCAAATC